CTAGCATGAGTTTAAGCCACCGGGTCCAGGACTTGAACCACGGTCAACTCTGTGGGAGTCCAGCGACATCATCATTATGCCATCTGCTGGTCACATATGCTTTAAAAAAAAGAATTATTTTATTTAACTTTATTAATTTATTTTCATTTGATGGGTGGGGGGAGGGTGAGAAGGCAAGCCACCAGGTCTGGGACTCGAACCACAGTCAGCCATGTGGGAGTCCAATGCCCCTAACCACCATGCCACCTGATGGACCCAACACAGATGCTTGTTTATAAAAGTTCATGTTTATAAAAACACAGGTGCTAGAAAAAAAGTTGAGCAGGCCAGCTGCATAGGTTGAGGGAGCCAGATTCCACATGGCTGACCGTAGTCTGAATCTCTGCCCCGGCGGCTTGAAGAACACTGGGCGTGTGTACGTGTCCAAAATCCCGACAGGTGGAGAAATGGAGCTAGCGTCATGGCATGACTATGCCCCACTGGGGATGCTTTCTCCCTCCCCACTACCATGAGGGCAGGTGCCCTCTAGTGATTCAAAAAAAAAAAAAAGTCTGAGAAAAAAAAACAAAAAAACAACCCTATCTGTGCCCAGCCATGGTGGGGTGTGTTGCTAAGACACTGTGCTTCTCAGGCTAGGCTCACGTGGGAGGCATGAGTTTGATTCCTGGTTCTACCTGCAGGCTGGACACAGTGGTGTGTGCCTGTAATCCCAGGGACTCAAAGAGGCTGAAGTGGGAGGTTCTCAAGTTCGAGACTGGCCTGGGCATTGTAGCGAGACCCTGTCTGAAAACAAGTGCTGGGTTTGGTGGTGCACACCTTGTCCCAGCAGGGAGGCTGAGGCAGGAGGAGAGTGACAGTGACCCGGACTGAAAAAACAAATAACTCCGTCTCCCTTCCTCCCTGTCTCTCACAAATGGGCAAAAAAGATGAAGACATAAAGAGCAGTTGGCAGAAGAGGCGGAGCAAGCGTCCTAGCTCAGAGGAGCAAAACTGGCAGGAAAACGCCGGGTATATACAACGGTACATGGAGTGGCGGTGGAGGCAAACCCAACGCCCAGTGACAGCGGTGTGGACCGCTGACAGCGAGGCCACAGGTGGTCCCGAGCTGGGGGAGAGAAATAAGGCAGGGCCCCGTTTCAGAAAACAAGATCTGACACCACCTCTCCCAGGTTCTGGCCATGGGGTAACCAGGTAGGGAGCCCTGCCCTGCTCCACGCTTGCCTCCAGGGGGTGCCGGGACTCGCTTAGTTTTTTATTGTGCGATCGAGGAAGTCATGATACATTTTCCATAGAGAAATGCATCGTGACTTTCCCCACGACCTAATAAAATATATATAAAAAAAAAGCTTTCTTATTTATTTCTTCCATGAGACAGAGAGACAGACAGACACGCATACACATGCAGAACCAACCAAGGGTCTTGAGGTTGTGATCCACCCCCAGCCAGGCCCGGGTCATAGCCACGCAGTACTGGGGGAGGCTCCAGGTGTGAGCCAGAACCCATCCATGTGCGTCGGTCTCACGGGGCTTCCCGTATTTATTTATCTACAATAATAATCACTATTATTATTTTAAGTTTGCTACAGGGCATGTGTGCTCACGAGAGAGGGAGAGAAAGTGAGAATGCAAGCCACCACCAGGCTACCATGTCCGGGACTTGAACCGCAGTCAGTCCAGCACCCCAACTGCCACGCCGCCTGCTGGCCCGGGGCTCCCCCCGGTTTTTATCACTGTACCGTCGGGCCCCTGTGGGTCCACTTCTACCTCCAACAAAGACTGCCAAGGAGCTGCCACCACGTGCGGCCCCTTTCCATCAAAGGAGCCCCTTCTAGTGCCCAGGGCCTCAGTGAGGGGGCCAAGTTCCCACCTGCTCTGAGGATGAGAAACAGGCCCCGAGAGAAGCGGGGTGGGGGGGACCAGGCCTCCTAGTGGGCCAGTCCCCGAGTCTGCCTGGTTCTCGGCCTGGGCAAGCCGGAGACTGAAGGGACGCGGCAGCGCCCTACTTCTCCAGGG